ATATTTTAAGCCTGCTGTTGAGAGCTCCTACTCACTGGCAATGCACCTGGTCACCCAAGAGCTCTGATGAAGATGTACAAGATTCACGTTGTTATCATGCCTGATAACACAACATCCATTCTGCAGCCCATGAATCAAAGAGTAATTTTGACTTTTGAGTCTTATTATTTGAGACATACATTTTGTTAAGGCTATAGCTGCTATAGACAGTGATTCCTCTGATGGATCTGGGAAAAGTCAATTGAAAACCTTCTGGAAAAGATTCATTATTCTAGATGTCATTAAAAACATTTGTGATTCATGGGAAGAGGTCAAACTATGAACATTAATATGAATCTGGAAGAAGTTGATTCCAACCCTCAAATATCCAGTAAACCTGTATAACTTTTAGGGGTTCAAGACTTCAGTGGAAGAAGTAACCGCAGATGTGGTGGAAATAGCAAGAGAACAAGAATTAGAAGTGGAGCCTGAAGATATGACTGGATTGCTGCCAACTCATGATCACAACAGATGAGGAGATGCTTTTTAAGGATGAGCAATGACGATACTGGTTTCTTGAGATGGAATCTTCACTCCTGGTGAAGATGCTGGGAATATTGTTGAAATGACCACAAAGGATTTAGAATATGACATACACTTAGTTAATAAGGCAGTGGCAGGGTTTGAGAGGACTGACTCCAATTTTGAAGCAAGTTCTTCTTTGGGTAACATGATATCAAACAGCATTGCCTGCCACCACCCAGATCGGTCAGCAGCCATCAACATCAAGACAAGACCCTCTACCAGGAAAAAGATTACAAAGTGCTGAAGTCTCAGATGATGGCTAGCAATTTTTAGCAATAAAGTATTTTTAATTATATTATGTACATTGTTTTTTAGATATAATGCAATTGTATACTTAATAAATGTATAGTATAAACATAACTTTTATATGCACTGGGAAACTAAAAAATTTGTGTGACTCACTTTATTGCAATATTTGCTTTATTGTGTTGATCTAGAACTGAACCCTTGATATTTCTGAGGTGTGTCTATGGATTCTTCATATTTTTATTCAAAAATTTCCTTCATCTGCAAATAATAACATTGTTTGGCCCCTTTTTTCTAATCCTTATACATTTTCTTTTTTCTTGATTTACCATTTGCTTTGAAGCAGTGATGCCAGGCATTTTTGTCTTGTTCCTGATTTTAAACAGAATGGCATTTTTAACATTTTGCCATGAAATATTACGTTTGCTATAGGTCTTTTTGTGGCTACTCTTAAATAGGTTCAGACAGTTTGCTTTCTCAATCAGCTATACATTTTTATAATGAATGGTTGTTGGATTTCATCAAATGTTTTTCCTACATTTATCAAGGTTACCACATTTTTATTCACTTCAAACTTCAAAATGGTGAATTACAATAATACAGTTTCTAATGTTTAACTCATTTTGCATTTTGAAAAACATCTAATTTGGTCGTAATTTATTATGTTTTGTTAATATATCACCAGATTCCACTGGCTAACATTTTCATTTAGCATTTTCATTCATTTGCCTGTGTTCATGAGTGAAACTGCCATATAGTTTTCCTTTCTTATATATCCTTGTCTGGTTTTAGCACCAAGGCTTTAGTCACCTCAGGAGACCAACTGACAAAATATTCTCTCTTTTTTATCATCTGAAAGTTTAGAATTACCTGCTCCTCAGATTATTAGTAGAACTCACCTCTAAAATTATTGGGGCTGATGTTTTCTTTGCAGGAAGATTTTAAATAATGGGTTAAATTCCTTTACTAGTTATAGGATCATTTAGACTTTTTAAACTCTTCTTGAGTCAGTTTTGATACATTTTTTTCTCTAAAAATTCATACATCTTATCTGGTTTATCCTAATCTGATGGTATATAGGTCTACAAAATATCATCTTATCTTTTTAGTAAATGCATAATCTGTGGTTATATTTCCCTTTTCATTCCATTTTTTCTTTTTTTTTTTTTTGGCAGAGCATAATTAATTTTATTTCATGTACTTTCTCAACACTAAGACAATAGCATTTTAAATCTAGCAGAGAGATGGTTTAGTGTTTTCATGAAAATAACTCAAATGTGTAAATTACTGTTTTATAGCCACACACTTTGCAAATGTCACTATCGCATTTGTAGCCCTATGGATTCCAGGGTTTGAGTGTAATCAGCCTTTTGTTTTGTTTTGTTTTGTTTCACACACACACACACTGTATTTTATTTTTACAAGAGATAAATAAACTGACACCAAGCATTGTAAATGGATCACCACAACAAAAGCAACAATGACTGCAATTACCAAACACAAAACACATTCATACTATGTCATAATATTGACATAATATCGTTCTCTCTGTTTTCCATTCATCATTTCTGTCCTAAGTTTGTCAATGTTATTAAGTCTTTTTAAAGATACACCCATTGTTGGGCTTCTCTGGTGGCACAGTAGTTAAGAATCCACCTGTCAGTGCAGGTGACACAGGTTTGAGCTCTGGTCTGGGAAGATCCCACATGCTGTGGAGCAACTAAGCCCGTGCGCCACAACTACTGAGCCTGCGCACTAGAGCCCGCGAGCCACAACTACTGAGCCCATGTGCTACAACTACTGAAGCCCGCGTGCTACAACTACTGAAGCCCACGCGCCTAGAGCCTATGCTCTGCAACAAGAGAAGCCACCGCAATGAGAAGCCCGCGCACCGCAACAAAAAGTAGCCCCTGCTCACTGCAACTAGAGAAAGCCCATGCACAGCAATGAAGGCCCAATGCAGCCAAAAATAAATAAATAAATTTAAAATAAATAAATAAAGATACACCCCTTTGTCTCCTGCACTGGCTGGAACACATTTGTCCACTGTGGTTTCTTCAGCACCTAGAATCATGCCCAGAGCACTCTAAGTATTCACTAAGTATTTGTTAAATTTAAAAACTGCACGGAAAAAGCATAAGAGAATGTGGCTAAAGACCAAGTTTAACCAAGTGCCATAGCAGAAAACAATAACTACAAATGCATGGATCTTTCTTTCAAGAAGAAAAAGTAAATAACAGCTTAAAAGTTAGTATGTCCTGTTTGCACCAATCTTCAGTATTTGCCTAATTCTGCTCCCCTAGATGGAAATATAGATCTTTCAAGATTTAAAACTCACAATCTAGTTCTAGTGGTTTTCATGAAAGCAGGCTTATTTTACACAACACGTTTTAGGCTCTGGTGTTAGAAACATAGAAATCATGAGTTTGCTAATTTTTCTTCACTACCATAGACATTAGTCAACAAGTGATCTTTAACATGTAGTACCGATCCATCACTATTGCTCATTTTCTAAACTGATGTTGCTGGTGTGCTGGAAATAAAGGGGCCTCATAAATGCAAAGACACAGAGGAAATGTTGAAAGGACAATGAACTTGGTACACATTGCTCAATGGAGTCCTTCAGATACTGGGTTGTCAAACACGGAAGTGCAGGCCACTCTTTTCATTCTCAGGAAAAACTCTCTAGTGATCAGCAATTCCAACCCCTGCATCTCTGTTCCTAAACCAAACTGAATCAGAACGGACGAGAAGATAAATCACAGTTTCCTGAACTTACCCTTCTACACCTTTATAATCTATATACTTAATGGTTTTCTGTTGCAATCTGAGCTGAGAGTCAGATTAATTGCATGACTCCATAGCTGTAAACAGGGTAACTTTGAAGATTAGATTGAGTATGCGCTGGCCCAAGCTAGGCTCTGTAAATCCTAACAAAATCCTTACATCAAATTTTTTTTGTTTTTATATTTGACAAATTTCTCCCAAAGTGAAATACTGAGAACTTCCGGTAATTGAATCCTGCAGAGCTGGTGTCGGGACACAAGACTTGAAGCTAAAAGAGGTAGAGACTACTACAATTTAAGGGAATGACAGTGAGGCAGCTGCATTGCGAGCGCCTGGATTGAGGAAAATGGGCCAGAAGCAGCCCCATCTCTGCTAATAATCTGAGCTTGGCTGAGGAAAGTAGTTGAAATCCCCGAAGAGAAGGCCCTGACCTCATGGAACTCAGGTCAAATGCATAAGGCAAGGCGAATGTAGAAGAACATACTTTAGGAGAAAGTATACTGTCTTGAAAACATTTAAAGATTGAGTGTATATTTATGTATAGTAAAAGGGATAATATTTTTAAATTATAAGTGCTAGAGACAAATGCTCTGTATTTGTCATGATAGATACAGGAGGCTGTTCTGCATATTTATAGTACAACTGTAAGCCAGCGCCTGGAATACAATAGGTGTTCAATTAATATTTTTAGAAGGGTAAGCCGTGTAAAGAGCACTGCCCTGGAGTCTGGAGACCTGGATTCTAATCCTGACCCTGTCAATAACTAGATTTGTCACTTCAAGAAAGTCACTTAGCTTCTTTAGTCACAAGGTTTTCCTCTATAAAGCAGACTATAAATTGAATGGTCATAAGATAACTTCCTATTTGAAGCATCTATGTCTCCATTAGTGCTACAAGAAGACCAGGTCCCCACACCCAGTAAGAACATACTCTCAAGGAATCACTGAGCAGAATCACAAAGGCAGGGAAGTGAATGGGGTATTCAGTGAAAGGCAGCTAGTCTAGTGTGGCTGGAGAACTGGGCTGTAGAAAGAAGATACAGGTGATGAGCATGAAGGAAATGGATGGAGCTAGGCCTGAGAATAATCACTTAAAGTGGGAGGGGTAAAGAGCTACAGCTGAAGATGAGCCCAAAGGATTCCAGCTCACCTGTTAAGCCAATGAAGTCTATAATATTGTGAATAGTGACGTCATCCTGTATGTTTAAAGGGCAGGGGGGTTCAATCCTTGCTGCACATACTGACATATTTTTTAATAGAAGTGCCTGGGTCCCCCCCACCAGAGACTCTGACTCAGTAAAACTGGGAGCGGGGGGAGGCCCTGACATCAGAATTATTTTTTTATCTGTGGCAGTTCAAGTGCATGATGAAAATCACGTGAGCGACGCTTTACAGTTCACATACCTTTCAACGTTATCCTTCCATCCTCACAGCCATCTTAGAAAGGGAGCAGAGACAGTAGAATTATCACCATTTCACACGTGTGAAAATTGATCTCAAAGAAACACCTCTATCCAAATGACAAGTAGCAGAATTGAGACTCTAAGCTGACTTCCTGAGCCCAGGTCCAGTGCTTTTTCACTGTAGCTCAGCCGCCTAAAATGAAAACAGGCGTAAGTGAGTAAGAATTTATTCCTCCATCCAAGAAAATATTAGAACCAAGAAGCATGACTTGAGGGTAGCAAAGGGTAAATTTAGGCCCAATGAAAAAGCAGTTCTTTGAAGGTAGTCAATGCATACATGGCCTTACTAACCTGAAGACATGGCAGATGATCATCAAGGGCTGGAAGGAGATTTAAACACATTTATAGGTGAAGGATACACTCTCAACTTTTTGAGAGCAACACTCTCTTCTCGTGCATTTGTCAGAGTCCAAAGGCCAGACTGGTTGTATTATGTTACTGACAGCCTACAAATTATAGTCAGATATCCTCAGAGTTTATAGTCTTATCTGCCTCATACTTCTACTGAAAATTTAATTATCTGTGCCCTCAGAAGGAACAGCACAGATAAGTGCAATTCTCACAAATCAGCTACCAGAAATGAGGATGTGGTGAGATGACCCAATTACCGCAGAAGGCCTGGGGCCCCTGGGTGACATCAGGCAGGCTAGTTATTACGTGATTAACATAGGGAAGGACACGCACAGTTGTCAGATGCCTGCAGTGGGGGAAGCCCTGTGTAAGACACTGCACATGCCATCACATTTTGTGCTCACAGGAATCCCAGAAGGGTAGTAGTATCGTTAGCTCTTTTTCACAGGTGAGGAGAGTCAGGCTTAGAGAGGTTCAACAATACGCTTAAAGTTACAGAGCTCCACACAGCACAGCTAAGCCAGAGCTATCTCCAAAGCTTGTGGTCGTTCCACTATACTGTTTCTCACAGCCTACCCCAAGTATAGAAAGAAACCTGATGCAACATAGTAAGCAACTACGTGAAAAGACCTGGCCACTATTAGATGGCTCTGTCTTCAGGGAGGGCATCTCAGTGGCTGCGGAGCTACGTGGCTCACATCATGGGCAGCAGAACTCACAGCAGCGGCAGAAAGACAGGGCTCCTGACCTGCAAAGTCAGGGGGCATCTGATCCTTACACTCACACGTAGAATGTTCCTCCAGAGCTGGGAGTGTTTCCCCTGCATGGGGAGTCCTGATGCTACATAGCAGATATGGCATTTCCAAAGCATGGCAGGCTAACTGTTAAAAAGATAGTAAGAAAGTTGGCAGCTACATGGCTGTTAAACAATCAAAACTTCACTGCCTAGTACAAAAGCCAGAGCTCACAGAAGCTGCTGCCTTAAATTCTGTGGGGTGCTAAGCTCTAAGGAAACACGTAGCATTACACATACCATCCTTAAATACAACCCAAAGTAAGAGATGCATAGTTGGTTCAGAGGACTGAGTGCCAAACCTTTAACACTGAGAAACCACCCATGAAACATACAGCTCAATTAGTACATTTAATCCAGATGGAGCGCCCCAAACACAGTGGGCCCGTAAAGCATCAACTCACACAGAAACCACCATCATCCCTAGCTTACACTGCTGAAATGTGCATACGGTACCTCCGCCATAAGCTTCTCTGCTACAAACACCTCTGCCGCAAACACTTTTGCCGCAAGTGTTTTCCCTGTGTAACTTAACTGGCCGTAAGGCATGGCTGCCGTAAAGGATAAAAGAACTGGTTGACGGTTTGGTTTCATTTCTTCATTGATGCAGTACTCCCATTTTTATATTGCATTAATCTGAAAAACGCTGAGGGTCTCAAAGGCACAGGATGGAACGCATAAGTCCCACAGAATTTTGGACTGTCTGTCCAAAAGTGACATTATGCCCAGAACAAACAACAGTGTAGAGGCTTTTCACAACACAATTCAAAGCTCAGTTACAGATATACATCCTAGTATTTGGAAGCTGTTACCTGCTTTTTTTTCAAAGTGATTCAGTTATATATATACAGACACAGACACACACACATACGTACACTTTATATTCTAATACATATATTCTTTTTCACATTCTTTTCCATTATAGGTTATTACAAGATATTGAATATAGCTCCCTGTGATATACAGTAGGTCCTTGTTGTTTGCCTGTTTTATATGTGGTAGTGTGTATATGTTAATCCCAGGGTCCTAATTTATTGTCCCCCCACCCATCCCCTTTGGTAACCATAAGTTTGTTTTCTATGCTGTGAGTCTATTTCTGTTTTGTAAATAAGTTCATTTGTATCATTTTTTGAGATTCCACAGGTAAGTGATATCATATGGTATTTGTCTTTATGTGACTCACTTTACTTAATATGATAATCTCTAGGTCCATCCATGTTGCTGCAAAGGGCATTATTTCATTCTTTTCATGGCTGAGTAGTATGTTATATACAGTATACCACATCTTCTTTCTCCATTTATCTGTTGATGGACATTTAGGTTGCTTCCATGTCTTGGCTATTGTTAACCATGCTGCTTTGAACATTGGAGTACATGTGTCTTTTCGAATTATAGTTTTCTCCAGATACACGTGCAGGAGTGGAATGCAGGATCATACTCTATTTTTAGTTTTTTAAGGAAACTCCATACTGTTTTCCATAGGGACCGTACCAATTTACATTCCCACCAAGAGTGTAGGAGGTTTCCTTTTTCTCCACACCCTCTCCAGCATTTATTATTTGTAGACTTTTTAATGATGGCCATTCTGACTGGTGTGAGGTGATACCTCGTTGTAGTTTTGATTTGCATTTCTCTAACAATTAGTGATACTGAGCGTCTTTTCACGTGTCTGTTGGCCATCTGCATGTCTTCTTTGGAGCTGTTACCTCTCTTAATGAAGGAGGAAATTTTAGTGAAAAAGAAAAAGTGTGCAAAGTGAGAGAGTAGCATGGACAAATATACACTACCAAATGTAAAACAGAGAGTGGGAAGCAGCTGCATAGCACAGGGAGATCAGCTCGGTGCTTTGTGACCACCTAGAAAGGTGGGATAGGGAGGGTGGGAGGGAGACGCAAGAGGGAGGAGATATGGGGATATATGTGTACATATAGCTGATTCACTTTGTTATACAGCAGCAACTAACACACCATTGTAAAGCAATTATACTCCAATAAAGATGTAAAAAATAAATAAATAAAAAATAAAAGACTAGTGGAAAAAGAAAAAAAGGAAAAAACAAAAAGAAAATGTGTGATGCCAAACAAAGAGATGAATTAACAAGCAAAAAAATGTATAAAATACTATGAATGAAAAACTTTGAAGACAAGTATTTAGGTACAATCCATAAAATAGAATCAGTTATTTGTGCAGTATTGCCATGAATCTATGCACATTTTAAATGTATTCAAATAATTTGTATTTTGCAATAATGTCTTTTTAATTTTTTTTTTTTTTTTTGCGGTATGCAGGCCTCTCACTGTTGTGGCCTCTCCCGTTGCAGAGCACAGGCTCCAGATGCGCAGGCTCAGTGGCCATGGCTCACGGGCCCAGCCGCTCCGCAGCATGTGGGATCTTCCCGGACCGGGGCACGAACCCGTGTCCCCTGCATCAGCAGGCGGGCTCTCAACCACTGCGCCACCAGGGAAGCCCTGTCTTTTTAATTTTGTAATTCATTTTTGATGTTTCATTATGTCTGTTTCCATGCCCCTCTTTTATTTTTTGCTATTTTATCTTTTATGGCAAAATTGCCTTATGGCCAATTAGTTATGCAGCAAGTATGTTTAGGCAAAAATGCTTGAGGCAAAGATGTTTATTGCAAAGAGGCTTTCGATAAAAATACCTAGAACTGTTGAAATGGCCTTGTTCCTGCTATCCCTGTATTCCTCACCATGTTCAACCCACTTCCCACCAGCAGCCAGACCCTCTTCTTGAAACACATAGATCTGATTTTGTTGTGCCCCTGCTCAAAACCTTTCCATTGTTCTTAGTATAAAGTTACTTAATTCATGACCATAGCTAGCCAACCTCCTCAGCCTGATCATACCCACTCTCCCTCATACCCACCAAGCTCTATTTTGTCCTTTATTTAGTTTCCTAACCACACTTGCCTGCCTCAGGACTTTATCACATGCCTTGTCCTGGTCTGAATCATGACCTTCCTCCCCACTCCCAGCCCATCACCTTAACCAGGCTAATTTCATTCCTCATATTTCTGCCTAAATGTCACATTTTCAGAATATCCAAATTAGTTGTCTCCTCTTATATTTTTCTCATAGCACCCTACTGTTCTGCTTTCAGGACAATCACAGTTTGAACGTAGCAATTAAGTATTTAAGTCTTTGTTAAAGTCTGTTTTTCCTACTAGAATGTAAACTCCAGGAGAGCACAGGAAAATGACTCATTCATTTCTCTGTTCCTAAGTGCCTTCTACATTAAGTTGTTCATTCAATATTTGTTGAACAAATGAAAGAATGAATGAACATGGGTACTCTTTCCCTGAAACACTCTGTTCTCTAATAATCTAGGGATAATCCAAAACAGGTTTCCTTCCAAACTGAGGGCCTGTTCCTGCACATCAAATTATCTCTCCTGAGTCAAAGGATGACCCATTGCACCCAAGCAGGTGCTCCCTGCCACGGCCAGTCTGGTGTCATAGCACCTCATCTGCAAGATGGGTGTCATGGCACTAGCCACAGTCTGGGTTATAAGCACAGAACTCATGTCCTCAGCACATGACACCAGACCATAAGAGGCAAATTTCTTGCCTTGCACAAAATTAGTCATTTAATAAATATTTGTTGCATTGGATTCTGAGTGTTGAATAAGACCTATGAAAAAGCCCCACATTTTATATCTAAAAGCTTAGTTCATGATTTCAAATATCGAAATCCATCATTCACATAGGAGTATGTATATTTGCAAAACATGTTTCATTTGTTAATTAAGAAAATACCATGAAAAAATTTTTAAAATAAAATAAAATAAAATGCAAAACAGGGACTTCCCTGGTAGCACAATGGTTAAGAATCTGCCTGCCAGCAGGAGACACGAGTTTGATCCCTGGTCCTGGAAGATGCCGCGGAGCAATTAAGCCCGTGTGCCACAACTACTGAGCCTGTGCTCTAGAGCCCACAAGCTACAACTACTGAGCCCATGTGCCACAACTACTGAAGCCCGCATGCCTAGAGCCCATGCTCTACAACAAGAGAAGCCACCGCAATGAGAAGCCCATGCACCGCAACAAAGAGTAGCCCCAGCTCACCGCAACTAGAGAAAGCCTGCATGCAGCAACAAAGACCCAACGCAGCCATAAATGAATAAATAAATTTATAAAAAAGAAAAAAAATGCAAAAAAAAAGAAAGAGAGAGAAAATATCATAATCTTAGTTAGAATCGACTGCTACTCTCCCAAATAAAAAAACAAGACAAAACAGAATGGCACTCTGAGA